CCTGCTGATGCCAGAATGAAAATACATTATTTTGTAGCACAGTTTGTTTTTTTGTGATAAAGCTTTCTAGTCCTGGTTCTCATTTCACGGAGGTTGCTAAACATGGCTTTCACGGGGACTTAAAGTGCACATGAATGTAATTCCTTGAAGAAACAAAGGATTTCAAAGGGTGAGATTTTTAAATGCATTCCATGTTAACCTAACTCTGCTCTCATTGACTTATGGAGGAGCAGTGTTTTGTAATAACTGAACATGCTTTTGAAAATCCGTCACTCACTTTTGCTTCTCTCATCCATTTAAAAATCAAAGGTAAAATCCTACATGCATTTAAGTCAGTAGCAGAAGGCCCGTGGACTTAATTATGATCAAGATTTTACCCCATATGACCACTAAGTCTGAAATGCACTACACTGACCATTCTTCAGTACCAGTCTGACCACTGACACACTGCTGTAAATGCTTACTTTACAGCAGGGTCTAGCAGCTGACAGCTTGTGGGGCAGATCTGGCCCATGGAGCCATTGGATCTGGTTTACTGATATGGGGCTTTGGCAATATTTGGAGGGTGCTTCTTTTGTGCTGCAGCAGGAAGATGCAGCAGTGGCCAGGTACTAGTGCCCGCCTGCCTACATCTGATCAGAGATGGGTCTTTTTGGCCTACCACCTAACAGGTTTAGAGTATCCTCTTGTTTGTGTGTACCTGGCATAGGAGGAGATGCTATTGAATCTCACGGCATTTTGTTCTATTATTCTTAATGTTTTTTTTTAAGCATCTTTGTGTGGGTGCACCTCTTCTCTTTCAGATGCACAGTATGCAGAGTGAATTCTGATATATGAAGTAAATTCTGTATGTTAACTAAAGTTTCAGTCTGGCAACACTTAAAATGTAATGCAAGGATAAACAGATGCCCACACAGTGAATCTGGTCCATATGCTAAATACATTACTGAGATTGTGCTATGCAGCAATTATGAACATGTAAAGTAAACCAACTCGTTTGTTTTTATTTTATTTTCAAAATATTAAAAGGAGTGCTTTCAAGTCGTGTGAAATCCTGATTTCACATGGGAGTGTTTTTATAAGTAGTTTTAAAAAAGATGTTGCACCCATTTTTCTCACCTAGTGACTTAAAAATGAGTAGGGGAAAAGTCTCATCTCATCAGAGTAAACTGTATTTTCAATGCAGTGTGGTACA